AATTAAAATTTATAATTGCAATTTTTATTCTTTTCCCTTCTATCTCTCTCTCTCTCTCTCTCTCTCTCTCTCTCTATCTATCTATCTATCTCTCTCTCTCTATCTCTCTCTCTCTCCCTCTCTCTCTCTCTCTCTCTCTATCTCTCTCTCTCTTTCTCTCACTCTCTCTCTCTCTCCCTCTCTCACTCTCTCTCTTTTTCTTTCTGATAAAAACGAAAGAGGAAAAAAGGAACAAAAAGAAAACACTCCAATGATTATATGCAAAACAAGAAAACTCAGTAATCCGTATTATTTCGTGCATAGTTACATATTTATTTTAATGAAGACATCCTTTAGGATTTCTTAATCTGGAACATGAGGTTGCACCGGGAAATCAGGGCTTAAAGGACCAAGTGATGGCATTACGTTGGGTCAAAGATAATATCGAAGTATTCGGTGGTGATCCTCAGAACGTAACTATATTTGGTGGAAGCGCTGGAGCAGCCTCGGTTCATTATTTAACAATATCACCGTTGGCAGAAGGTAGATTTTTATTCATTTCGATTTAATTGCGTTTCTACATGAGTCATATCTTTAAAACGGCGAAAAAATTTGAAACGATGATACTTACAAGTACAAAAAAATTGAATTAATTTTATATAAATGCGTTTTTTTATTCTTTTTTTGTCCTATACGTTTTTTCTTTTTCTTTCCATATCGCGTATCAGAAATTGAACACAATACGTAAGCAAGACATTTAAGATCCACATTCCTAAAAATCTCGTCTTGCCGGTATCCGTTTTTTCTTTCTTTCTTTTTTTTCATTTCTTTATTTTTTTCACTTTTTTTTCGCTCTTTCAGGATTATTTCACAAGGCTATAGCGCAAAGCGGCTTAGCAACGAATAGTTGGGCTAGCGCATCCGACGAACCAAGAAGATATGCTTATCAGTTATCAGCAATGTTAGGTTTCAAATCGTTCGATCCAAAAGCCATCGTTGATTTTCTACGAAAGGTGGAGGTTAAGAAGCTCGTCAAATATCAATCGTATATAACATCCTCGAAGGTAAATAATTTTCCAATTCGATCGATTGAATCGCCCGGATAGTGTTGTTCGTTCCGTTTAAATAAACAAAAACGAAAATTACTTATTCTTTAGGAAAAATTAACATTGTTCTCGGCGTTTCTACCAGGAGTGGATTACAAATCGAAGAATCCATTCTTAGCGCAACCACCGGAGATCGCTATGAAACTTGGTATTAACGTACCGTTCATGTTAGGGTTCAACGGTATGGAAGGATCCTTTTTTATGGGTACTAATAAATTCGCATGTAAGTCGAGATGTTTATTATCTTCGAGAGAGAGAGAGAGAGAGAGAGAGAGAGAGAGAGAGAGAAAATTTCGCTACAGTTTATATTACAAGCATTTAACAATTAAGTATCGAGATATTGATTTAGTATATATTATTATTACAAATTATTGATAATTCGTTTAAAATACTTGAACGAATAAAACTAAAATCCTCGTATAATTTCATTAACGAATGTTCTTCATCTATTTAGCGAGTATGTTGAGAACAAGTCGTCGATTAGAAGCCACCATCAAGGATTTAATATCGCCGTCTTTCGCGAAAAAGCTCCAAGAAAAAAATACCACGATAAATGATTTGGAACGTTTGTATTTCGGTGAAAAATCATTCAACGATGAACCCTCTGAAAATATTATGTATTTTTTAGGGGACTTAATGTTCACTTATCATATTTTTGAATTAGCACGAATCTTGCCGAAGATAAATAAATATCCGGTGTACTTATATAAGTTCTCTTATGAGTCCACAAATACTACCTTTATGAAGACATCCATGGACATTCAGATATCAGGTTAAAAAAAAAAAAAAAAAAAAAAAAATGAAAAACAGAGAAACTTTTATCTTTTTATCGTTTCATATTTTTGTTTTTTTATTATACTAGGAGCTACGCATGGCGATGAATTGTTTTATATGTTCTATGGGAAATTTCAAGAATATTTATCCTTGAAACCACATAGTCCTGGGACAAAAGATTATAAAATAATGGAATATTTTACGCAATTGTGGACCGATTTTGCTAAGACAGGGTAACGTATCTTCCAATTTATTTCTTTATACCCACATCCCTATAAACACACATACACACACACATACACAGACAGATATGCATGTATATATATTTGCATGGAATATTGTCGACTAAACGATTATTACAATCGTCCCGTAGAAATCCCACACCGACTACCACAGAACTTATTCCCGTTTTATGGGAACCTTTGGAAAGGAATGCCAACAAATACAATTGTTTCAAAATCGATGAGAATTTACGAATGGAAAGTATTCCAATAGGTGCACAGAGATTCGAATGGGATATGATAACGAAGAACAAGTTATAATCATGAAAAATGTTTTGTTTAAAATTAAATCATATCGATATCCAGACTAATATTTTTACATTGTTTTTAATTGGACTAAATTTCTTTCTCTATCTATTCTTCTTTCTTAGAATCTTATCATTATTAAATTATTATTATTGTTGTAATATTTGTAATCTTTTATAAATATAATAGCTGTATTTTTTTTATAACCAGTGATCTTGCTCAATAAAAATTTAATGATTGTGTAGATATTTGTTAAAAAAAAAATTTGATCACATATGAAAATTTCATGTAAATAAGACAGGCACACACACAAACACGCATATATATATATATATATATATATATATATACATATATATATATAGATATAAATAATAAAAAGGATAATTTTCGAAGAACAAACAAATAAGATATTACATAGGTTCACTTCACAGACAATGAATAATGTGCGCTTATAAATAAATAAATAAATAAATAAATAAATAAATAAATAAATAAATAAATAAATAAATAAATAAATAAATAAATAAATATATAATGCCTGTATTTAAATTGTATTAAAGTATAGAATAATAATTTGAAGTTTTTTTTTCTGTTTTCTAGAAAAATAGTCACTATGAGTTTAATGACGCCTTATTTCGAAACGAGATTTTTAAAAGATACGAAACTAATCCACTCTAAATTAAACTTAAGATTAAGTCCGCTGGTATGTTCCTTAAAAACGCTAAAGTAACGTTCCTAGAGAAGCCAACGTTATTTATAAATATGTCGCACTTCAAACTGATAGACACCTATCCCTTGGATATTATATTCTCAAAATTAATGCCAAATGATAGAAGCAAATTTAATACAAATCAGATGTTGAAGTATCTGCTATATTATTTAGTTGAGAAAAAAGCGATGCTCTTTTTAAAATCATACAAGGAAGTTTAAAAAAAGAATTTGTTCGATATCTAATCAACGTCACAGCTACTTTACTTTGTATTCTGTCAATCGATTAACCAATGACAGAGACCCATCGGTTATATTCCAAAAATTCGGCAAAAGGCACATACGAAATGAATTACATAACAGAATGGAGATGTTATATGCCGACGAAGGAGATAGTGCTTACGAATGTAAGCGAAATAAATAAGACCAATTATAGCGCGGACTGGATAGCATTGATAATTTATTCCTGTACTTGATAATTTATTCCTGTACTTGATAATTTATTCCTGTACTTGATAATTTATTCCTGTAAGATAAATCAAAACGACAAAGCTTTTGTTTTAGTGTTAGAAAATATCAATGTAATGGCCAAAAATGAGTTTCTAGACTACATTATTTTAATAATTTTGTAATATCTATAATCTGTCGAAATTGAGCGGAAGGCATTGGATCATCACCGGCGAAATTATCGAAACATAACTATTCTGGAATCAGCAATTTGTTTTAATAAAACAAATACATTACCATTACAATAAATGTCAAATATCATCTTAAAAAGAGGGGAAGAAAATTGTAATTATTACAGAAAATAAGCATTTTAAGAAAATTTAATATGAACGTTAAAATTTTATTACGCATAAGTATGATACGCATCCGACATGCGTAACCATGACTCCTACGCGAAAATGAAAAGAAAAAGAAAAAAAAAAAGAAGAAAAAAAGAATAATAAATAAAATAGAAAAAATATCGTTTTTCTCTTCGCTACAGAAATAATAATAATAATAATTAAAAAACAAAATATTCCGAGACAAAAATAAAATTATATAGTCAGAATAGTACGATTTATGATAAAGAGGTCATACATTATATATACTTTTGTCTGGCAAATAATAATTTATTTTCTATGAAAAAAAAAAAAAAAATATAAAGGAAAAAAAATTCTAAAACATCTAAATCATATATATCATATATAAATATATATATATATATATATATATATATATATATGATTTAAATCAATATCTATATATGATTATCTATTAATAAGCTACTTACAATTTCAAATACATATTTTTTTCGATTAACAACGAATGAATATGTAAGTGCATTATACTGATGAAAAATCGATAAACGCTTGATACATATTAATTCATTTTTTATTTAGTATAAAAAACTTAAAAAGCAAAGATGTTATATGGCTTATGTATGCATCTTCGTGTTCGAGGCGTACTAGATGAGATCTTCGTACGATGAAACAAAATCTTCATCGAAAATCGATAATAATACAATTGTCACAAATAAATTCGTTCTATAGTTACATTATTATTAATAATGAAATTATTATACATATAATAATCATATATTAAAAAATAAAAAAAAACAAACAAAGAAAAACAAAAACAAAAACAAAACAATATATTAAATAATTTTTAATAATATTGTACAGATACATAAATGTATATATTTTTTCAATTTTTGTTCTTATTTCTTCATTTACGTTTATCATAATTACTTGAGATAAATAATATTCAAATCAACTTTTGATAATGAACAGCACTATGTCAAAATATGGTCCCCTTTACTTTCTGTTCATCCCCACTTACAATTTCTTCTTTCCCCACTTAATAAAATATCGTGTACATAAATATGACGACAAAGAAGAGAAACCCAGTGACTCTCGGGCTATTGACCAGATACAGGTCTCTTATATTATTATTTTTCATCTTCTTCATGTTTATGATGATTGTGCGAATTTTTTTTTCTTATATATATAAATATATATACATAGCTATATATAAATATGTAGAACAATATATGCATTATATGACCAAATATATGGATCGCCAACAACAAGGACCTGTGCTATGTCTCAAACAGGGAAAAATTCAAGGTGTCATTAAGTATAACGTTTGCAGTAATAATGATAATTATTTGGCATTTCGAGGAATACCTTATGCGAAACCACCGATCGGCGAGCTTAGGTTTCAGGTATTTAATATTTAATTGAAATGAACTCATCTCAATCAATGTCTCTTCTTCTTTTTAGTTCGCAAAAAAAAAGAAATAAAAAAAAGTAAGAAAAAAGGGAAAAAAAATTATGTATCATTTTTCTTACGAACAAACGTTGATAATATCGGATCATTGGTCACTAACATTACCACTATTGTAAAATCAAAAAATATTAAAATCCAAGAGAAATATTTTCAATAGAATATATACATATCAAATGAAATATATATATCGAAAATTTTGGATTTAATTCATTTAACATTCCGAAATAATTCTTCCATAATTGTTGTATATAGAAAAAAATGCAATGTCTCTTGAACATTGTATATTCATTCTATTTTAATTATCATTTTGTATGAATATATACATATATACATTTCTAATTTTAATATTTATATTTAATATAAATTTGATTTCTTATTTATTTTATTATTAATATTATAAGTAGTTATATATATTTAATATTTACTTAATATATTAAATTTTTTTAATAAAGAACGAATCACTAGGATCCACTACCAGCGGAAGGATGGAACGGAATAAGGGATGGTTCGAAATTCGGTAATATTTCCATCCAATTAACTACGAGTGGTAAGGTAATAGGTAGCGATGATTGTCTCTATCTAAACGTTTATAAGTCAAAAAGAATCGAGATGTTTGCGAAACTGCCGGTAATGGTATGGATTCATTGTGGTGGCTTTTATTTGGGATCAGGAAACGATGCCATGTGCAGTCCTGATTATATCATTCGAAAGGACATCATACTCGTTACGTTCAATTATAGATTAGGTGTATTAGGTAAGTAAAAACGAACATTATTTCTGTTCGATAACATTATAATTACAATTCTAATTATATTCGCATAAATATTTAAGCGGTATTTTAAAATTCAAGAAAAAACGAACGTTCCTTCTTTCTAATTAAAATCTATAATTGCAATTCTTATTCTCTATCTATCTATCTCTCTCTCTCTCTCTCTCCCTCTCTTTCTCTTTCTCTCTCTCTCCCTCTCTTTCTCTCTCTCTCTCTCTATCTCTCCCTCTCTTTCTCTCTCACCCTCTCTCTCTCTTTTTCTTTCTGATAAAAACGAAAGAGGAAAAAAAGGAACAAAAAGAAAACGTCGCAATGATTTTACAGAAAACAAGAAAACTCTGTAATCTGTATTATTTCATGCATAGTAACATATTTATCTTAAGGAAGACATGCTTTAGGATTTCTTAATTTGGAACATGAAGTTGCACCGGGAAATCAAGGCTTAAAGGACCAAGTAATGGCATTACGTTGGGTCAGAGATAATATCGAAGTATTCGGTGGTGATCCTCAGAACGTAACTATATTTGGTGGAAGCGCTGGAGCAGCCTCGGTTCATTATTTAACAATATCACCGTTGGCAGAAGGTAGATTTTTATTCATTTTGATTTAATTGCGTTTCTACCTGGGATCATATATTTAAAACGGTGAAAAAATTTGAAACGATGATATTCACAAGAACAAAAAAATTGAATTAATTTTATATAAATGCGTTTTTTGATCCTTTTTTTGTCCTATACGTTTTTTTTTTCTTTCCATATCGCGTATCAGAAATTGGACACATATTCCGTAGACAAAATCCACATTTTTGAAAATCTCGTCTTTCCAGATATCCCTTTTTTCTTTCTTTCTTTTTTCGTTTCTTTATCTTTTTTTTTTGCTCCTTCAGGATTATTTCACAAGGCTATAGCGCAAAGCGGCACAGCCATAAACAGTTGGGCTTATACATCCGACGAACCAAGAAGATACGGTTATCAGTTATCATCTATGTTAGGTTTCGAATCGTGCGATCCAGAAGCTGTCGTTGATTTTCTAAGAAAAGTGGATGTTAAGAAACTCGTCAAATATCAATCATATGTAATACCAGAGGTAAATAATATATCTTGGTTCTATCGATTGAATCACGCGGACAGTGTTGTTCGTTTCGTTTAAATAAATAAAAACGGAAGTTATGTACTTTTTAGGATAAATTAACGATGTTCTCGCCGTTTTTACCAGGAGTGGATTACAAATCGAAGAATCCATTCTTAGCGCAACCACCGGAGGTCGCTATGCAACTTGGCACTAAGGTACCGTTCATGTTAGGGTTCAACGGTATGGAAGGATCCTTTTTTATGGGTGTTCATAAAATCTCATGTAAGTTGGTGATGTTTATTATCGTCGATAGAGAGAAAGAGAAAGAAAAAAGAATTTCGCTACAGTTTATATTACAAGCATTTAACAATTAAGAATCGAGATATTGATTTTATCTATATTATTATTATCTATATTATGATTTTATCTATATTATTATTACAAATTATTGATAATCCGTTTAAAATACTTGAACGAATAAAACTAAAACGCTCATACAATTTCATTAACGAATGTTTTTCATCTACAGCGACTATTTTCGAAAGAATTCGTCAATTAAAAGCCACTTTCAAGGATTTAATATCGCCATATCTCGCGAAAAAGCTTCAAGACAAAAATATCACGATAAATGATTTTGAACGTTTGTATTTTGGTGAAAAATTGTTCAGCGCCGATCTTTCCAAAAATGTAATGCACTTTTTAGGAGACGTATTGTTTCTTCATCATATTTTTGAATTAGCACGAACCTTGCAGAAGATAAATAAATATCCTGTGTACTTATACAAGTTCTCTTATGACTCCACAAATGCTACCTTTATGAAGACGGCCATGTGCATTCAGATACCAGGTAAAAAAAAAAAAAAGAAATAAAAGAAAAAAATAAAGAAAAATAAAAGAGAAATATGGAGAAACTTTTATCTTTTTAAGTGTATATGAAAACACACATTATACATAAATCGTTTCATATTTTTTTTTATACTAGGACCTACGCATGGCGATGAATTATTTTATATGTTCTATGGGAAATTTCAAGAATATTTATCCTTGAAACCACATAGTCCTGGTACAAAAGATTATAAAATAATGGAATATTTTACGCAATTGTGGACCGATTTTGCTAAGACAGGGTAACGTATCTTCCAATTTATTTCTTTATACCCACATCACTATGAACACACACACACACATACACAAACAGATATACATGTATATATATATATATATTCGTATGAAATATTGTCGACTAAAGGATTATTACAATTGCCCCGTAGAAATCCCACACCAACTACTACAGAACTTATTCCCGTTTTATGGGAACCTTTGGAAAAAAATGCGAACGAATACAATTATTTCAACATCGATGAGAATTTAGGAATGGAAAGAATTCCAATAGGTGCACAAAGATTCGAATGGAATACGATAAGGAAGAGAAATTTGTAATCATGAGAAATGATTTGCTTAAAATTAAATCATATCGATATCCAGACTAATATTTTTACATTGTTTTTAAATGGACTAAATTTCTCTCTCTATCTATTCTTCTTTCTTAGAATCTTATCATTATTAAATTATTATTATTGTTGTAATATTTGTAATTTTTTATAAATATACCAGCTGTATTTTTTTTATAACGTGTGATCTTGCTCAATAAAAATTTAATCATTGTGTAGATATTTGTTAAAAAAAAAAAAAAAAAAAATTTGATCACATGAAAATTGCATGTAAATAAGACACACACACACATACAAACACGCATATATTTACATATATATATAAATAATAAAAAGGATCATTTTCGAGGAACAAACAAACAAGGTATAACATTGATTCATTTTACAGATAATGAGTGGAGTGCGTTTATAAACAAATAAATACATACATAATGCGTGTATTTAAATTGTATTAAAGTATAGTATATTAATTTGAAATTTTTTTTTTCTGTATCTAGAAAAATAGTCCCTATGAGTTTAATGACACCTTATTTCGAAACGAGATTTTTAAAAGATACGTAACTAATCCACCCTAAATTAAACTTAAGATTAAGTCCGCTGGTATGTTCCTTAAAAACGCTAAAGTAACGTTCCTAGAGAAGCCAACGTTATTTATAAAAATATCTCACTTCAAACTGATAGACACCTATCCCTTGGATATTATATTCTCAAAATTAATGCCAAATGATAGAAGCAAATTTAATACAAATCAGATGTTGAAGTATCTGCTATATTATTTAGTTGAGAAAAAAGCGATGCTCTTTTTAAAATCATACAAGGAAGTTTAAAAAAAGAACTTGTTCGATATCTAATCAACGTCACGGCTACTTTACTTTGTATTCTGTCAATCGACAGAGACCCATCGGTTATATTCCAAAAATTACATACAGATATGAATTACATAACAGAATGGAGATGTTATATGCCGACGAAGGAGATAGTGCTTACGAAATAACTAATGTAAGCGAAATAAATAAGACCAATTTTTGCACGGATTGGATAGCATTGAGAATTTATTCCTGTACTTGATAATTTATTCCTGTAAGATAAATCAAAACGACAATGGTTTTTTTTAGTGTTAGGGAATCTAACTGTAAGAGCCAAAAACGAGTTTTTAGACTTCATTATTTAAAAAATTTCGCAATATCTATAATCTCACGAAATTGTGCGAAAGGCATTCGGTCATCACCGGCAAAATTATCGAGACATAACTATTCTGGAATCAGCAATTTGTTTTAATAAAACAAATATATCACCATTAGAATAAATGTAAAATATCATCTTAAAAAAAGGGAAGAAAATTGTAATTATTACAGAAATTAAGCATTTTAAGAAAATTTAATATGAACATTACAATTTTATTACGCATAAGTACGATACGCATCCGACATGCGTAACCATGACTCCTGCGCGAAAATGAAAAGAAAAAGAAGAAAAAAAGAAGAAAAAAAGAATAATAAATAAAATAGAAAAAATATTGTATTTCTCTTCGCTATAGAAATATAATAATAATAATTAATTAATATAATAATAATAATTAATTAATATAATAATAATAATTAAAAAACAAAATATTCCGAGACAAGAATAATATTATATAGTCAGAATAGTACGATTTATGATAAGAAGGTCATATATTTTATATATTTTATCTGGCAAATAATAATTTATTTTGTATGAAAAAAAGAATAAAATAAAAGAAACAAAAATTTTTAATTTCTAATAAAACACTATATATATACATATATCGACTTTCGAATAAGATGCTACTTACAATTTCAAAATCATGTTCCTTTCGATAAATGACAAATAAATATGCAAATGCATTATAATTTATAACAAACCGATACGGGTTTGATTCATATTAATTCATTTTTTTAATATACAAAGGTTGAAAGTTAAATATGTTTTATGACTTATGTACGTATCTTCATGCTCTAGACGTAATAGATAAGATCTTTGTACAATGAAAGAAATTTTTATCAAGAATCGATAATCATAAAATATGTCATAAATAAATTCTTTCTATCGTTACATTATTAATAATCATGAAATTATTATATATTATAATCATCTATTAAAAAGTAAAAAACATGGAACAAACAGAAAAAAACAAAAACAAAAACAAAATAATATATTATATACTTTTTACACTTTGCCGGCCGCGCATTTATCGAAGGGCCGTTACGTTTCCGCCGGCGAAATTCACTCAGGTTCTACTGTTCGCCAACGGTGATATTTATGCAATTTTTCGCAACATAAGTAGTTGGAATATAATTATTATTAAAGAAAGCACTATAATAACTGTTACACTATTTTTATTCCATAGTCTTATATTTTTTAATTAGTACTAAAACATTTTACTTAAAAAATTTAACTCCTAGGATTCATAGTTTTTTTTAGTATGATAATTTTGAAAACATTTTCCAAAATGCAGAGGAACGTTGTAGGCGGAAACCTATGTTCCCTAATCGTCAAATGTTGCTTTGCAAAAGCATGTCTACCCATACAAACGTTGATATGAAGCACCATTCTTGGCGAAAAAACGTCTCGTACATAACAGCGACCGATAATCAGTGGCAAGCATACGTCACGCCAGTGTATCAGCGGAAGGCAAAAGACTACATATATGAATACGTACATAAATGTATATATTTTCTTAATCATTTTACTCTTTTCTTCATTTACGTTTATCATAATTATTTGAGACAAATAATATTCCAATTCATTTATTGTAGAAAAGAGGATTAGAACAAAATGACGTTTCTTTTACTTTCTGTTAATCCCCACTTACTATTTCATCTTTCCCCACCAATCGAATATCGTGTACATAAATACAACGTCAAAAACGAGAAACCCAGTGATTCTCGGACTGTTGATCAGATACAGGTCTCTTCTATTATTATTTTTCATCTTCTTCATGTCTATGATGATTGTGCGAATTTTTTTTTCTTATATATATAAATATATATACATAGCTATATATAAATATGTAGAACAATATTTTCATTATATGAACAAATATATGGATCGCCGACAACAAGGACCTGTGCTATGTCTCAAACAGGGAAAAATTCAAGGTGTCATTAAGTATAACGTTTGCAGTAATAATGATAATTATTTGGCATTTCGAGGAATACCTTATGCAAAACCACCGATCGGCGAGCTTAGGTTTCAGGTATTTAATATTTAATTGAAATGAACTCATCTCAATCAATGTCTCTTCTTCTTTTTAGTTCGCAAAAAAAAAGAAATAAAAAAAAGTAAGAAAAAAGGGAAAAAAAATTATGTATCATTTTTCTTACGAACAAACGTTGATAATATCGGATCATTGGTCACTAACATTACCACTATTGTAAAATCAAAAAATATTAAAATCCAAGAGAAATATTTTCAATAGAATATATACATATCAAATGAAATATGTATATCGAAAATTTTGGATTTAATTCATCTAACATTCCGAAATAATTCTTCCATAATTGTTGTATATAGAAAAAAATGCAATGTCTCTTGAACATTGTATATTCATTCTATTTTAATTATCATTTTGTATGAATATATACATATATACATTTCTAATTTTAATATTTATATTTAATATAAATTTAATTTCTTATTTATTTTATTATTAATATTATAAGTAGTTATATATAATTAATATTTACTTAATATATTAAATTTTTTTAATCAAGAACGAATCATTAGGATCCACTACCAGCGGAAGGATGGAACGGAATAAGGGATGGTTCGAAATTCGGTAATATTTCCATCCAATTAACTACGAGTGGTAAGGTAATAGGTAGCGATGATTGTCTCTATCTAAACGTTTATAAGTCAAAAAGAATCGAGATGTCTGTAAAACTGCCGGTAATGGTATGGATTCATGGTGGCGGTTTTTGTGTGGGATCAGGAAACGATGACATGTATAGTCCTGATTATATCATTCGAAAGGACATCATACTCGTTACGTTCAATTATAGATTAGGTGTATTAGGTAAATAAAAACGAACATTATTTCTGTTCGATAACATTATAATTACAATTTTAATTATATTCTCATAAATGTTTAAGCGGTATTTTAAAATTCAAGAAAAAACGAACGTTACTTCTTTCTAATTAAAATTTATAATTGTAACTCTTATTCTCTCTCTCTCTCTCTCTCACTCTCTCTCTCTCTCTCCCTCTCTCTTTCTCTCTAACCCTCTCTCTCTCTCTTTTTCTTTCTGATAAAAACGAAAGAGCAAAAAAAGGAACAAAAAGAAAACTTCCAATGATTTTATGCAAAACAAGAAAACTCTGTAATCCGCATTATTTCGCACATAGTTACATATTTATTTTAATGAAGACACCCTTTAGGATTTCTTAATCTGGAACATGAGGTTGCACCGGGAAATCAAGGCTTAAAGGACCAAGTAATGGCATTACGCTGGGTCAGAGAAAATATCGAAGTATTTGGTGGTGATCCTCAGAACGTAACTATATTTGGTGGAAGCGCTGGAGCAGCCTCGGTTCATTATTTAACAATATCACCGTTGGCAGAAGGTAGATTTTTATTCATTTTGATTTAATTGCGTTTCTACCTGGGTCATATCTTTAAAATGGTGAAAAAATTTGAGACGATGATATTTACAAGTACAAAAAAATTGAATTAATTTTATATAAATGCGTTTTTTGATTCTTTTTTTGTCCTATACGTTTTTTCTTTTTCTTTCCATATCGCGTATCAGAAATTGAGCACAAAACGTAAGCAATCCACATTCCTAAAAATCTCGTCTTGCCGGTATCCGTTTTTTCTTTCTTTCTTTTTTTTCATTTCTTTATTTTTTCATTTTTTTTTCGCTCTTTCAGGATTATTTCACAAGGCTATAGCGCAAAGCGGCTTAGCAACGAATAGTTGGGCTAACACATCCGACGAACCAAGAAGATATGCTTATCAGTTATCAGCAATGTTAGGTTTCAAATCGATCGATCCAAAAACCATCGTTGATTTTCTACGAAAGGTGGAGGTTAAGAAGCTCGTCAAATATCAATCATATGTAATACCAGAGGTAAATAATATATCTTGGTTCTATCGATTGAATCACGCGGACAGTGTTGTTCGTTTCGTTTAAATAAATAAAAACGAAAGTTATGTACTTTTTAGGATAAATTGACGGTGTACACGGCGTTTTCACCAGGAGTGGATTACAAATCCAAGAATCCATTCTTAGCGCAACCACCGGAGGTCGCTATGCAACTTGGCACTAAGGTACCGTTCATGTTTGGGTTCAACGGTATAGAAGGATCCTTTTTTATGGGTATTCATAAAAACTCATGTAAGTC